CTTGAGCCGGTGAGATTTGAACCGCTGAACTGCAGATAACAGTCAGCTGAAGTGTCCTGCAGTACTGCACCCTAACCACTGCGCCACCTCGGCTCTCTATATATAGAGGGTGGTATAATGGTATAATAGGGTGTATGATATAGGGTGTTTCTTCTGGTTTTTAGAATTCCAGATGTCTTTAATTATACCAACCAGGTTCATGTCATTCTTAGTAAGATGTATGAACCTATTTTCTAAAAGCAGGTTTTAAACCTAGCTGTATGTTTCAATCTGCCAATTGTGGCTTATTTAACAAACTATGGCTAAGCACTATGCATCGGCTCAACCAGACACTCCCCAGATTTTTTTTTCCTTTTCTGTCTTGCTGAAGTATTAATATTTCCTCTTGCAACTGTTTTTTACTATTTACAGAAATCCCAGCAATGGGGAGGAAGAATGGAATGAAAACTAACGAGGCAACTAAAATGGATGAATTACTTGATTTAGCATAAATTTACATACCATATACAAATTGGGATGTTTCTCAGACACACGATCTTTATACATCACGACAGCTTTCAAGTATGGTAAACGATCCCAGATCTGTGTAAAGTTTGAGATTTTTTTTTAAAGTCTTTGTATTTGTATTATGGATAATACTAGAACAAAAAAAATTAACATTCCAACTCAACTGAAAAGAAATCAGACAGACAAACATGAATTGTAATGAATTGTAAAGCTTGCTTAAATGGATGTAACATTTAAGCCATAAAACTCAATTGACTAACCACAATGCCTGACTTCACCTGACACCTTTAGACAAAAGTAAACAAACCAACTTAGTGACATGCAAATCTGGGTTTGTTTTGCAACTTAGTACAGCCCAGGGTAACCCTTCACAGCCAATTTTACTGGATCTCAAAATAAGCTTTACATCTGTAATATGAGCTGCTCTAAGCTGACGTTGATTAGAACAGCAAAATGTGGGACACGAATCTTAACAAATAAATGGAAGCCCAGCAAATAAATTCTCAAATAAATAGAGGTAAATAAAGTCAAGCTGACATTCTCAAACGGGGGCGTAAATTCTATCAGCAGGTTCCTTACCTGCATTATCTTGTCCAACTGCTTCTGGTTTTCCACCACCACAATATTAGCTCTGGAGTCATCAGCAACATAATGACAAGCCTCTGGAGAACTGGTGGTGTAGATCCCAGACACAATGCCACTGTTGTTGAGTGAAAATAACAATTTCTTTTTAATGACAAGCATGCCATATCATACAAGTGGGTTAATATTTCCTAGGGCTTATGACAATTATAGGAGAACAATGGATTTTTTTTTAATTAGGCTCCAACTGATCTTGGCTGATCTCAAAAGCAGGACTGCAACTCGATGGTGTTTGGATGGGAAACTAGCCAGAAATGCTAAACTATAATCTAAACCAGTGTTTCGCAACCTTGGTCGAGAAGAAGTGTGGACTTCGACTCTCCAAGTCCAGAAAGAATGTGTAGACTTCAACTCCCAAAATTCCCCTCTGTCAGTTGGCTGGGGAATTCTGGGAGTTGAATTCCACACATCTTCAAGTAGTCAAGTAGTTGAGAAACCCAGATCTAGACTAAGAGGTGTGGGAAGTTATCATCCAGCCCTCTCCCAGAAAAATGAAATATCCTAGGAAACATTGGGTTAAAAAGAGGTTAAAAAGAAATCAGTGGGAATTTGCTTATGAAAACTTGATGGACAATTCCATATAAGCATCAAGACCTGTGCTCAGTTTGCAGATTTTTTTTTTCACTCATCCTTTGCATTTAATGCAGCTTGCTTGGAATAAATACCCAATGGCTTGTAACCTGTTGATCTCGGGACCTGCTGGTACCCCTCCAGCTCTCCCCACCTGAAGCTGGCCAAGAAGGGGGGCTCCAGCTAAACCCCAGCTACCTCAGCCCATCTTCCCTGGCCAGTTTATTTGTGTCGCATTTTTCTCTGTAAATCCCTAATGGGGACGTTTCCAACCTTACCCAGCAAATACAGCTCCTACAGCCAAAATGAACCACTCTGTAGAATTAAAACCCAGAATCGCAACACTGTGGAATCGTTCAAGGCCGAGCTTGAGGGGGGAAAAAAAGGAACAATACAGTCAACATTGTTGGAAAGAAAGAGAAAGTCTTCCCCGCACCCCCCAGATGTGAACTTTGCTAATTTCTCCCCCCCCCCCCTCCTCTTTCTCATTTAGCTTGGCATGCATAATTTCTAGGTCATTTAGCACCGAATCCTTATCCCACGCCAACTTTCTGGCTGTTTCTCTGATTTTAGCTGCTGTTGTTGCTTTTCTCAACCCTTTGCGATTATCTTGCTGTTTGAACAATACTTGCCTCACTTAGTCAAAATAAAAAGAAGAACATTGGCGGCTGTCTTCACTTATCAAATCAGCTGTGGCTTCATGAGGACGGGAAGGACCAAATTATCAGGGCTTGAATATCTTTGCAGTTGCTCAAAAGGCAGTCGGCCCACAATTTGCAAAATAGGAGGAGGAGGAGGAGGAGGAGAAAAAGGAGAGGAAGGAGAAAAACAGGAAAGTGGTATATGCCAAAAGTTTGTTAGGTCAGAGGCTGCCACAGGATTCCTGCTGAAGTATTATTCTTTATAAGAAATGTTGCAAAAATGCAACGGTTTAGATCATTCTGAATAATAAAGATAAAATTGCACGCATACGGGCACTCACTTAAATGAGTCTCAGTCATCCCAAAGACTACGCAATGGGTATTGGGTATTTATTTTGTACAATGAAAATAAAGGCTACACTATAAAAACCCAAAGTTTACCTTCAGGAAGCTCTTGGCTGCTTTCCGAGAGAGGCGGTAGTACTCCGAAAAAGTAATTTTTTCCCATTTCCCCTCCTTTTTGCTGGCTAATGCGTTGAGGGACTTGTATTTCTCTAGAGATTCTAGGAACATCTGGTGAATTGTTATTGGCGCTTGTGAGCAGGTGGGGTCCCTTCGCAGCTTTACCTGCCCGTCCGCTGATGTGGTCCAGAGAAGAGCTAGGAAACAAGAGCAGATTATTCAGTGACAGTTTCTGGAGATGAAAAAAAAAACCTCCAAAGTCTAGCTGTGTTGGCTCTTCTTTTTCCATTGGGACCAAATAGGTATTTGTGAGGAAGATAAAAGAGGCAACGGCATTTTTCTGGATTTCCTCTTTCCTTTACAACTTGTTTTCTTTCAATCTTTCCATATCATAATCCTACAGCCAGGAGGATTTTGATTTTACTGATTTATAGAAGAGAGCAGGAGCTAATAAACGAGAATATTCGTAGTTCAAGGTCGTAGTTCAAGGTCTCCCTGTATTTTTGTAGACGTTGAATTACCCAACTAAGTAACATCACCAGTGCTAGAAGGAAATGCAAGATCCCCATTCACTTCTGGCACTGATGATGTTACCTAGTTTGGTAATGAAACGTCTGCAAGGAAAACATCCAGGTTTAGAGCACTAAGGGAGCCTTTGCAATATGCAAGGTAGAAAGAAACTCATGAATCATTGTCCCAAAAGTAGATTCCGTTCCGTCTTCTATCTGCTTCAATGTATCACAAATAAACCAATTCAAATTCATCCCGATATTCACTTACCTGAATCTTTTTCCAGACTCATTCCAGAATCTTTTTGGACGCTCTGGGCTTCTGACAAATTTCTGTGAAAGGAAGGAGATTTTAAAACTCCCTTTAAAATTCCAGTGGCTAATAGCTTGCAGAGGTTGAGAGTTCTCAGAAGACAAATCGCAATGGGCAATATTTTTATCTAAAGCAGGCTAGAAACATAGAACAATATTCTCTCAAGCAAGTTCTATAGATAAATCATTTTAGCACCTCAGCATCTACTCTCTTTTTTCACAAGGGAAGTTATTCTTTGCAAACAAAAGAATATTTTTTAAAAATCTATTTTTTTCCCCAATAGCAAGTATTACAACTCTGTATCTTTTTTGGAACATCGTTTTCTTTCCAAAAAAAAAGCTGCACTTATTCTCTATTTCAGAATCCAGCTTCCCTCCCACCCCCGCCCTGCCCCTGTTTCAGCCCAACTTTTCCTACTTTTATAGAAAACACATTCATGCATTCCTATATTTTAGCCCATTGAATTATTTTATGTTCAATTTGTCAAAAGACAACTCAAAAAGTTGCCATTCAAGAAGGACAAAACTTTCTTGCTGCCCCAGTTAAACGCAACCAAAGAAAATGTGGGTCAAAACTTTTCCCAAGTCTTTTGAATTTTTTTTCTTCCAAAAAGCTATTATCGGTTTGATGTGTTACAGTCCTGACATCCTTATTTCTAAACAAGCACCTGTACAATGCAGCCTCCATCTTTCAAGAAAGAAAAGCAATTTCCCAGGCATTATTTTACCTGATTACTTTATTTCCAGTCCACTTTTGTCCTCCTGCAGTTATTTCTTCAGAAAACCCGTCAAACTGACCCAATTCTTTAGAGACAAGCAGAGTGGCATCAACTCTTATTGAAGTCCGGAGTCACAAAGTGCTGGTTTTAGTTAAGAATCCAACGGGCGTCAACTTGACCAGACACGCAGCGAGATAGATCGGAGGAGGGTGTCCAAAGCTTCTCCTGGTCAACTTGCGGAGAAACTCCTTCGTGGTTCAGCAAGGACAAACTTTCCTTTCATTCGGTGCTTTTTTCTTCCTCCGTGAGAAGAATCTCAATGACGTGTGTGATCAGACATTCCCCTTGGCACAAAGGGAGGACTGGAAGTGGCAGAGTCATGGATGTAGACCCTGGAGGAAGTTACATTTCTGGCAAAAACCGACAACGTGGTTACAAAAGGACTTCGACAACCGCGTTATATCAAATGCCCGTGTAATTGATTATGAAATCAGGATTCAGCTTTCGGTATTTTGATTTCCCCATTGCACAGATAACAATTTCTTTCTTTCTTTCTTTCCTTTTCTTTCTTTCTTTTTTTTATTTCATTCATTCATTCATTCATTCATTCATTCATTCAAACTTTAAACCACCCCATATCTGAAGCTCTCAGGTTGGTTTGCAATGAAACAGTGTAAGGAAAACATTGGGAATGAAAACCTAGACAGATAAAATGCAGGATGAAAACACCCTACGGATTCAGCAACGACCAGGCAATACAAATAAAAAGCCAAATATAATAACAAGGGGGGGGGAGGGGAATAAAGGGCCCTTTATCTGGGACCCAATTGCTGCAATAGTGAATAAGTAAGTAAGTAAGATCTTTATTACGGTCAAAGACCAGCAATATACATTTGTTTTTACACTATATTAAAA